TATGCACTTAGAGTAATAACATTTAAAGTAATTATTGATATAATTGTGTAAATATATACAATACTGTTTTTGCTCTGTTCCTGCCTTTGCTCTTTGTTCTTGTTTTTGTCTTTCATGCATTTTCTCATTTATATAGTTTAAGTATTTTGTATTTTATATTTTCTTCCTTATTGATATATAAACTACACTTATTTTTATATGGTTTTAATGGCTGACTTGGAATTTGTACTGTACATTTGCAAGTAATCCACATCCACTTTCAAATAACACTGTACCACTTCATAGGTAATGAAAGTCCTTTACAATAACCAAATATTCCCAATTCTTCTCTCCCATATCTGATGTCATTGCCATTTGACAAATATAAAATCATACCTAATTTCATGTATTATTTCTGTTGCTATTTTAAGTAATTATATGGTAGAGCACTTACTCATTTTTTAAATTCCTTTACTGTTTTATGTAGATCTAAACTTCTAGCTTATACCATTTTCCCTTTCTCTGAACAACTTTAACAGCTCTTTTTTTCTTTTTCCATTTGTTTATCTTTATTTTTTTAATTTTTTATTGTAAAGATGCTGTACAGAGGGGTTACAGTTACACGAGTAAGGTAATGAGTACATTTCTTGTCCAGCATTGTTACCCCTTCCCTTGTTGTTCTCCCACTGTCTCTTCCCTCCCCACCTCCCTCACTCCCTGCCCCCCCCCACAAAGTTGTAAAGTTGAATTCCAGTATACTGTCTTGTGGGTATCATTGTTGCAATGGGTCATCCTGTGTCCTTGTTTCAGTTTTGTTATTCCCCTTCCCCTCCCCAAATTAGACAAATGTATATACAAGATGCAGGGTATCAAAATCAAGTACAGTGACAACAGGGGATATACCATAGGGGAAGAACATACACAAAGGAAACAAAAAATATCACATAGTACATTAAAAACAACAACAACTCCATATCTTGGAGTTCATTTCTTTAACAGTTCTTCTAAGGCAGATTTAATGGCAACTAATTCTCCCGATTTTTGTTTATCTTAAAATACCTTTCTCTCTCTCTCACTCTCTCTCTGTCTCTCTCTCTCTCTGTCTCTCTCTCTCTCTCTCTCTCTCTCTCTCTCACATACACACACACACACACACACACACACACACACATATGTGTGCACTCATGCTTTTTTTTTTGTCAGTTATGGGGCTTGAACTCTGGGCCTGGGTACTGCCCCTGTGCTCTTCAGCTCAAGGCTAGCACTGGACCACTTGAGCCACCGAGCATCTTCCAGTTTTCTGGTGGTTTATTGGAGATAAGAGTCTCACAGACTTTCCTGCCCAGGCTGGCTTTGAACTGTGATCCTCAGATCTCAGCCTTCTTAGTAGCTAGGATTACAGGTGTGAGCCACCAGCACCCAGCTCTTTGTTTTTGAAGGCTGTTTCACAGGGTGAAGATCCTATATTGATAGAATTTCTTTTCTTCTTAAACCTCTAAATATTTTACTCCAATCTAATTTTATAGCTCCTTAGCAGTTAGGCTTCTATTCATTCCTCTATAGATAAGGTGTGGTTTTCCTTTGGTTCCCTCAAGATTTTCTCTTTAAGTTTGAGTTTCATCAGCCTAGGTGTAAATTTGGGGCTGTTTATATTGCTGGATGTTATGTGGGTTTCCTGTGTATAGTTTGATATTTGACACTAATTCGGGGAAAATTCTCAATCATTATTGTTTCAGTTATTTCTTCTATTTATCTCCTTCTGCTTTTCCCAGTACATGTTAATGCCTTTTGTGTGATTATTCCACAGTTCCTGGATATTCTGTTATCTTTCTATTTGGTCTTTTGTCTTGTTGCTTTTTTAATTGCCAAGATGTTTCTACTAGTCCTCAAAAATGTATATGCTGAAACCTAATCACTAATGTGGTAGTATTAGGAGATAAGATTTGAGGGATGTACCTAGGGTTAATGTCCTTATGCAAATGGCTCTGGATGATGTGAGAAACTTCTAGAAGACACCATGTCCATGTATGAACAGGAAGTAGATTCTCCTCAGACAATAAAACCTCTAGTGCATTGATCTTGGATTTCCCCAGGTTCTAGAACTGTGAGTAATAAATTTCTACTGTCCATAAGCAACATAGCTTTATTTTTTATAGAAGTCCAAATGGTTTGAGACAGGTTTTCAGTATTCAAAGTTTTCATTATAGCCTCGAGCCCAGGGATTCTTTCCTCAGCTATATCCCGTCTCCTGATAGCCTATCAAAGGCATACTTCCTTGTTGTTACAGTATTTTTATCTTTAGTATTTCCTTTTTTATTCTTTTAGAATTTCCAGCCTCCTACTTATATTATTCATCAATTCTTGTATGCTGTTTACTTTTTCCATTAATACCTCATTACATTTTTTTATAATATACTTAAAAAACTCTCAGATCATTCCAACATATTCACCACATCTGAATCTGTTCCAATAAATCTCTGTATCCTCCAACTGGTTTTTAACCATTTAGTATTCCTTATAAATTTTAGTTAGAATCCAGATGTGAGAGCAGGTTGTAGTGGTACATACTTGTAATCCCAGCAGTCAGGAAGCAAAAACAAATATATCTAGGCTACATATTGAGAGGTATCCCCAGTGATTGTAAGGCATTTGTGTGGGAAAAAGGAAAACATCCTCTAGTTCTATGATTAACTCTCAGACTTCAGCTGAACCTTTGTCCTGGACTGTAAACTCAGGTGTTTTTCTTTTTTTAATTGTAAAGGTGATGAACAAGTAAGGTAATGGTACATTTGTTTTTTGAAAACTGTCACTCTCTCCTTCATTTTCTTCTGCTTTTCTTTCCCACACTCCTCCCACTTTAAGTTTTAATGTTCATTGTTCCTCTATCCTTAGGTTAGACAGAATGGCTAGAGAGAGCTACAATTGAGTATTTCCCTCCAGCCAGATCAGTTAGGGACTTTTAAAATCCCAGCAGGTTGGAGCGGATGTGGACAGAAGGGAACCTTACTGCATTGTGGTAGGAGTGTAAACTTGTTCAACCACTTTCGAAAGTAGTATGGAGGTTCCTCCAAAGACTCCACATAGAGCTCCCCTAAGACCCAGCAATCCCACTTTGGGGCATTTACCCAAATATTTACAAACAAGACCACACTAAAGCTACCAGCAGGACTATGTTTATTGCAGCACTATTTACTATAGCTAAGCTATGGAACCAACCCAGATGCCCCTCAGTAGATGAATGGATCAAGAAAATGTGGTATATATACACAATGGAATTCTATGCCTCCATCAGAAAGAATGACATTGCCCCATTTGTTAGGAAATGGAAAGACTTGGAAAAAATTATATTAAGTGAAGTAAGCCAGGCCCAATTTGCAATATGTAGTATATGTCTGAGTCAAGCAGAAAAGGTCAGATAAGGTGATGTTAGGTGAAATGAACCCTAAGATATGTATTCAAATATTTTTTTTCTTTCATGTGATTGTTTCTAACACATTTATAAGATTATTTCTTTGTTGCTTTGTATGTCCCTCCCCCATAGTATAACCCCTGCTTACACTGTATTTGATGTCGGTATAATTTGTGGAGGGGAAGGGAAAAAACAAATCGTCTAAATAGGGATACAGGTGGACCCATTGCAACAATGAGATGTACAAGTCGTTATGTCGAAAACGAACTTTACAACTTTGGTGCAGGGCGGGGGGGAGGGGGGGGGCCGGGGGAGGATTGAGTGTGGGGGGGGGGGGAGGATGGGAAGGGATGGGAAGGGGAAACAAAGGAGGCTTGATAAGAAATGTACTCATTATCTTGCCCATGTAATTGTAACCTCTCTGTACAGTATTTTCACAATTAAAAATAAATAAATAAATAAAAAATAGATAAATAAATAAATAATAAAATCCCAGCAGGTAAGGCTTATCCTAGGGTTAGGCCTTATGTTCTTGTGTTTCAAATTTCTTTATTTTTCAACAGGTGAGGACTGCTGTTTTTTTTTTAATGTTTTTTTTTATTGTGAAAATACTGTACAGAGGGGTTACAGTTACATGAGCAAGGTAATGAGTACATTTGTTATCAACCATTGTTGCCTCCTGTGTTTCAAATTTCAAATCGTTCTTCCTTTCCCCTCTCCTGCCAGAAGCAGAAAGGGGATTTTCTGATATTCACTATAAGGACCTGGTAGAGCTCCTGTAGGTAAAACTGGCAAAAGTCTTCCATTCACAGACTTACCTATACTGAGCCTCCCACAATTTGTCAATTGTACCTTGAAGTTTTTCTACTTTGGCTCTGGTTCTCATTGTGGTTCCTACTTCTGAGTTCTGGCTCTCTATGTTGTAGTTTGCTGTATTCTCTGTCTCCAATTTTTAAAGGGAAGCAGTTTGCCATATGACTGCACTTCTTTGACTATAAATAAGAAGAGTCGTTAATTTTTTCAGTTTTTCCTGCTTTTTGCCTACAGTTAATGCAGAATGGAGTTCCTCATATACTATGCAAAAAAGTAAAAATTTTAGGTCTTAGCTCATGCATTTATTTTTCTTCTGTAAGAATAGTCAATGGTACATTATTTAAAAACATGATTTAGCAAAATTATTTTGTAGGCAGATGGTTGATTTGAGGCAAGTAGTCTTATATTTTATTGTTGCAGGACTCTTTCCGTTTTTTATATTGTATTATCTTTGCATAGTTGTACAAAGGAGTTGCCACTTAACAAAACAGTTTATGAAGACAATGCATCTTGATCATTGTGTTAGAAGACCCTTAATTGTTTACAGCATTTCAAATAAAATGATGCTACTTGGAAATATCTTAGTTATATATAGCACAGAGAATATGAATCATGATCTTGGCTCACATGAAAATGGGCCTGTGTGCTTTTTGCTTTGTCACCATTAACAAATCAGACAAAGTTTTACACCAAGAATCTTTTTGTATACATTAACTTAAAATATCAAGCTTTCATATTACTTAGGTGAACCACAAAGGAATGTAGACATATGGCTTAACATTTTCCATGGATTGTTTAGCATTAGTGTCGCAGGCAGAGGCTCTGAAGGAAGAAAATGACAGCCTCCGTTGGCAGCTTGATGCTTATCGGAATGAGGTAGAACTCCTCAAGCAAGAACAAGGCAAAGCCCACCGAGAAGATGACCCAAACAAGGAACAGCAGCTAAAACTCCTACAACAAGCCCTACAAGGAATGCAACAGGTACTGCCATTTTTGTGCCAGATTTTTAAGACTTTAAGGAAGAATAGCATTAATTCTTCACTTGTAAAACGTCCGCTATGTGCAAATATAATATCGAACTTATTATTATTATTGATATTATAAGTTATGGCATAGCTGAGGAAAGGAGTATGTACTGTAGTTAATAAAATATTCTGACTAATAACAGAGATACCAATGGATTACCAGGCATAGGTAAAGCACTTGAACTATACCCCTAACTAATCCTTTTATTTTTAGCTTATTTTCATGGAGAGTTTCGCACTTTCGTTCAGCCTGCACATTATTATGCCCAGCTTGTTTCTAAGATTGTCTAACTAACTTTTCCCCAAGCTGTCCTCATATTGCAATCTTCCTATCTCCACTTCCTAAGTAGCTAGAATTACAGGAATATACAACCAAAATCACCCATTTTCAAAGAATGAGCATCAAGGAATATAACATTACTATATTAAATGCAATCTAATTTTCTTTATGCTTCATAAGGCACTTACTTTGGGATCTAGATAGGGCCTCAAGGTATTTATGAAAAGCTTCAATTATTTAAATAAGAGAAAGTGCTGATGAAATAATAAGTATGTAAGTGACAGAATTATAAACAGTATACCCTCTTAGAAGAAATGGCAAGAATCCTACTCTTTTTTTCATTTGGGGTGGTCCTGGAGCTTGAACTCAGAACCTGGATGCTGCCTCTGAAATTTTGTTCTTAAGGTTAGTGCTTTACCACTTGAGCCACAACTCCACTTCCTGCATTTTTCTGGTTAATTGGAGATAATAGTCTCACAGATTTTCCTGCCTGGCTGGCTTCAAACCATAATCCTCAGATCTCAGTTTTCTGAGTAGTTAGGATTACAGGCATGAGCCACTGGCACCCAGCAAGAGTCCTAGTCTTGCTTTGAGTGTGTTTGAACATTATGAATTTGTAAATATCAGTGCTTTGGGTTCAAATAATCAGTTTCTTTTATTTTATTCTCACAATCCTGAAAATGAGTTTACATGCACAGAATTCCTAGTATAAGAAGTAACGTGCTTCCAAGTGCAATTGCATTCAGGTATGTCATGTAATAGGTGCTCAGTATCTAGAAGTTTGGAGTAACTACTACTATATTGAGCCCACAACACCTGTTTTTACTATAGTGAAGGGGCAGTGCTTCTGAGTAAGGGTACTACTGACCATTTTCCTTGCAACTGAAATTGTACAGTACTTTTCAACTCTAAGCTTTGGTATTATGTAGGAAAAAACTAATTGCTGGTTGGAAATTATAAATTATGAGCAATAGCAGCCCTGTGTTATTTCTTCTGCCATCATTGTCTTCCTATGTGACAAGTAATATCACATTAATATTTCACCTTTCCTATTAGCAAAAAGTGTGAAGTAATGTGTACCTTCCTTTTATTGTCCTCACGGAATTTAATTAGAACATGTAAGTTATACCAAAGATCCTTCTACCAAATGTGTGTCCTTAGCTAGACTTCAAAGCACTTTTAAAATATGCATGATACCGTTATTTAGTTCTGCCCATGGCCTTTTGCAAGCCTTTGAGATGTGTTTGGAAATACTCTTGTAGTGTCTCCCTTATTACATTGATTTCAAAACCATTGCACATAAGGTCAGTTATGCCACATAAAGGCAATTTAAGAATGACGAAGCTTTTTCTGCTTCAGTACTTGAAAGACCTCAGTTGGGAATTAAGTTGGTAACTCCCAAAATTTTCATTGTGTGTGTGTGTGTGTGTGTGTGTGTGTGTGTGTGTGTGTGTGTGTGTGTTAAGTTGGTAACTCCCAAAATTTTCATTCTTTGTGTGTGTGTGTGTGTGTGTGTCCTGGGGCCTGAACTCTGGGCCTAGGTACTGTCCCTCAGCTTTTCAGCTCAAAGCTAGCGCTCTACCACTTGAGCACTTGAGCCACAGCACTATCCCTGGTTCTGGTGGTTTATTGGAAATAAGAGTCTCACGGTGTTTCCTGCCTGGGCTAGCTTTGAACCACGATCCTCAGATCTCAGCCTCCTGAGTAGCTAGGATTACAGGTGTGAGCCACTGGCACGCAGCTTAATTTTCATTCATTTTTATCACTTTTTATTAGAAAAATAGCCTTGTAAGCAAAAACAAACTTTCTTCTGTTTTGTTTCAAAAGATTGTGATTAACAGCAAGAACTCTGGAGTTGACCTGACATGGTTTTAAGTATATTCTGCCATTTCCTATCTGAATGGCCTGAAGGAAATGTCTTAACCTCTTTAAATATTTCATATGTAAAATCTTCAGCTCAATACTTACCAAATATGAGGCACTCAGTAAATAGTGTTTGTTGTAATTATTAATGGTAATTCTGACTCCTTGCCTACTGATGTAGAAACTGACATGTGAAAGTTAGATTTATCACTCCTTTGTCCACAGAAATTGACTTGGCCTGGCAAATGGCTATTTTCGAGAATGCTTTACAGCATTAAGTTAATGTCTATTGATAATTATTTAATTAATGTCCCTTAATTGTACCCCAGCCTTACCCCCAGTCAGAACAGAGAAATTAAGTGACTAGATAAATCAATTCCTTCCTAAAATATGATGGACTTCAAAGAAATATATGGGAATCAAATAAAGTAAAAATCATCTTGATACATTTTTTGCATGGAAAAATGATCGTTTGTGCTTTGGGGAAATTGAAGCAGGTCTGCCTGAGAGCTAACCTCACTTAGGGATTGACAGTGAAATGTAATTTCTAAATTAGTGATGATTTTTTGTATCTTTCCTGTAGCACCTACTAAAAGTTCAGGAGGAATACAAAAGGAAAGAAGCTGAACTTGACAAAATCAAAGATGACAAGTTACAGGTGGAAAAAATGTTAGAAAATCTTAAAGAAAAGGTACATAAGTCCTGTATTAACTTTTCCCCTTGTCCTTTTTCCCTTTTTCGGTGACAATGAAAATTCTCTGGAAGTTTCTGCAGTAGAAATCCATGTAGAATGTTTGTGGTTGGGTATTAAAATCCCCTTTTCTGGGTAATTGTTTTATTGAGAGATCTACTTTGAGGTATGGATATTTAGACACTCTTTAAACAGTCTGTGGAATATGCTTTTCAATAGATATAATGTTTATCTATCTCTTAAGTTCCTCAGTCTTAGACCAGAGTACACAACCCTTCCCTGTTTCATTTTATCAAGCTGATAGCAACACAGAAAACTCATGTGATACAGAGTACCTTTGATTGAAAGGAAGAAACACAAATGCAGCTAGAACACTGACACTTGTTTACAGACACTCCATCTAGTGTGATCATGAGTCACCATAAGAAAGAATAATAGCCAACATAAAAAGAAGGAAACGTTGGGATGAAACAGAGACACAGTATTCTAAGGGTAGAAAATAGGGACAGGAAAGAGAAGATGGGGCTTTATTAAGCAAAAGACTGCTTCAATAAGAACCACCAGTGAGGACCTCTGAGACAGCATAGTAACATCTGGATGGACTTAGTGCATCACAACTGAGTCAGGTACCCAGTCTATTTTAGGTGTGTGCAGTCTACTGATAGATGTCTCCTTTTCATATATCTCCATTCTTATCTATGCCTAAATATTTTTGCTGAACTTATTCTTTAAGGAAGAAAAGCTTATTGACCAGAACTACTTACTTATGATGTCTCATAAAGAAAAGAAAGATTAGTGCTTCAAGCAAAAGTCTGAAATGCAGCAATGATACATTACTGCAGGAGCTCTTGCTCTGTCTCTTCTATGCTCAGTACAGGAAGATGCAGTACATACAGACCCTGGGTGATTTGCTAACACAGTGACGATCTCCAGAGTACCATTAGGAATTGGCAATCTTATTGTAGTTGAAATAAATGATTGAAAATGTTTTCTTCTGGAGGCCATTTGCAATATGCTTTTAATTCTTCCACATCACAAAACCAACTCACTTTCTAGTTTTGTGGATGCTATTAAAGAAATGAGCACAATCCCAGAGAAATTCATTCATCAAGCATTTAATTGAAAAGTGTCAAAACTATCCTACTCATCAGGACTTTACTCATAATGCCAGAGGTTCTAAATTGTTCCCAACCTGCTACATAACAGCTCTCTTTCACATCCCACATAAAACAGAATGTATAGCCAGAAGACTCTACAAAATGTATAGCCAGAAGACTCTACATAGTCATACTAATGTCGTACATAGTCATACATAGTCGTACTAATGGCATTATGCTTAGAATTGACAAAAATTAACTTCAGGGCATTTTTACTATAAGCACCTTTCTGCTTTGCAAAGAATTTCATTGAAAGAAACAAAAGGTCACATGGCATAGATGACACTTGCCATATTGCACCAAATAACAACTTTCTCATTCTGAAACTGAATATTTCATGAAGTAGTGTGATACATTCAAGCAAACATCTGTTTGATAGAAAGAAAACAATGAGTCAGAATGTTTTCCTATTGTTTTAAATAAAGCTTCTTTTAGAGAAATTCATGACAGGTCATTATAAACTGGTCTGTGGGATGCCGATTTGTCACCAAATATTTCAACCTGACAAAATTAGATTAGGAAACCTTAGATCATCAATTAGACTAAAGAAAAAAGATTTCAGATTATAAGCAGTAAGTAATGGTAAGGAGTGATCTTTTTGTAGGTTTGAGAGAGGGAGGATTCTTGACAGTAAGTCCCAATGTGAGTTATTCTTAGTGTTTTGCAATGTAACAGAGAAACATATTTTATCTGTCTTACTGGTGGAAACAATTGGCTCTTTGAATCTACTAGTAGAATTCAAGGTAATAAACATCTTTTCAATATCATTTCATTTAGAACACAGTTCTGTTCAAGGTGGCTAAAACTTCTCAGGAAATCTTAACATTTTAAAGCAACCCCAGCTGGTTAAACTCTCACAGTTAAGAAACTGGCTTACTGTATCATTTAATGTTTTGAAGGAATTGGAGGCAGATGTGTAGCCTCTGGCTTAGACATGAGCCAGTGGTTTAAATCAAACTTGGCATAATGGTTACTGTCTGGGTTTAATTCTCAAAGCCAAAGATTGACTGGGTCATCAAGACAGGGTTTCCCTTTGACTACAGCCAGGAAACGTATAAATGCACAATACCACATGTCTCACAGCACAGACCATTCATTTCATTCAGAGACAGCTTCTGGGAAGCTTTGAAGACATCTATAAAGAAAATGGAAGGAATTCTGTCCCTACTGAGGGCTTGTGGAAGGAAAGAAGTGATGAAGCATCTGAGTCAGCCATGATCTGCCCCACAAGAAGCACTTCCCCAGCATTTTCTTTTACAACAGTAAGACTTAAGCAGTGATTCCTTTCATTTCTTCTTCTGAAGCCTCCTCTTTCACATATATAAGAAAAGATGTTCTCATAACCTAGACACAGAAGGGAAGATCCATGAATGGTATGCAGGCATTTTTTTCAGTCTTGTTACCGGGCATTAGTTTCACTTGAAGGTCTATTATAAAACCTACCTGGTATACTCCAGAAAAGAAAAAAAATCAACAACAGAGAAAATATCATTTGACTAATGATATTTTTGGTCATGGTCATTTCTTACCATAAAGTCGGGAATATTCTAACTGTCCTTAACAAAGAGAAGAAAGTGAGAGTGAGTTCTCTAGTTAATAGAGATCAGCATTAATTTTTAGTTCCAAAGCCAATAGTTAAGTGCCTTTGAGTGGATTGGCTATATTACAGATTCTTCATTCAGGCATGGCACTTAACCATATCAGAGTGTGGACATAACATTTCAAAAAAAGACAAAAAGAATAATCCTCTTAACACTAAATGACCTGTTATGAAACATTGGCTCTAACACTCCTTAGCAATGTAATTTTAGCAAACTTGCCCTATTTATCCTAGCCTTTCCTCTTCTGTCTGATGGAGATAATACATGACTACCAATTTCTGGCACCTAATACATAATAACTGTTGAGTCTGGCTCTCCAGATGACTTATATAGAGTCAAAAAGGATAAAGCAAAAAAAAAAAAATAACAAACTGATGAAAATAAGTGTTTACATTTTTCTTTTGTTTTGAAGTCTTTTAAAGATGTTTTGGATTATCCGTGGTACTTTTGTAATCCATGCTGTTTTCTTTACCATTCAATAATTTACAATGTTGCTTTTATTATCCTGTGATACTTTTATGAGCCTATTGCCTATATTCTCAGCTACTCAAGAAGTCAAAATGGAAGGATGGCTTGTGTCCAACAGTTCAAGATGAGCCTAAGCAAAACAATGAGATCTCATCTGAAAAATTAGTTACTTGTTACACAGTTCATTGAAACCAACTCACTTTCTAAATAAGGTGAACTGATATAGGAAGCATGTTATCCCCACAGGAAAACTGTGCTCCTCGACTGTGTGCATCAAACCAGGAAAATGACTACCCTCTTGAGAAGACGATGAATGGCAGTCCTATCAAATCTGAACGTGAAGCACTGCTAGTGGGTAAGGAAGCCAGTACACATACAATTCATAGGATACAGAGGAGAAGGGGAGGGAACTTCCTAAGAATCACAAGCATGCTTGTGATTATGATATTTGACCATAAGACCTCAGAGTCCTGACTGTGATGGAGTCAGAAGAAGTAGATTTACTACCAGGTCAACTGTGTGGGTAAGCATATTGTATATTTGTGTGTGTGTGTGTGTTGTGTGTGTGTGTCTGTGTGTGTGTGTGTTTCTGTGTGTGTGTGTGTGTCTGTGTGTGTGTCTGTGTGTGTGTGTGTGTCTGTGCTGGTTGTAGAGTTTCAACTCAGGGCCTGGCTGTTATCCATGAGCTTTTGTGCTCAAGGCTAACACTCTACCACTTGAGTCACAGCTCCGCTTCTGTCTTGTTCAGTAGTAAATAAGAGTTTTACAAGCTTTCCTGCTTGGGCTGGCTTTGAACCACAATCCTCATATTTCAACCTCCTGAGTAGATAAGATTATAAGCATGGGCCAACAGCACTCAGCTTGTGGACTGATTTTTAATCTGTATATAAAGATAGCTGAGCTCACTTTATGTTCTGGAGGCTACTGAGCCTCTAGAAGCAAGTGTATGCTTCTCAAGGTTTTTCATGCTGCTAGTTGAACAGTTGATAGTTTTTGTCTCATCACTCTCATACCAAATAAAACGTATCTTGTACCTACTGACACTGAATATGTTAGTGTCTTTTCCAACACTTTTCCCAACTTTCCAACCCATCACCTGGTAATCCTACAATTCAATTTAATTCAATTGCATTCTGACCGTACAAGTGGAAGTTATCTTTATATTCGGGGTTACAAGGCTCAGTATCACAAATCTGGATATATGAGGAGATATTTAGGCTCAAACATCAGATCCCTTAATACATTGATTCACTTTCCTTTATGGTAACAAATACACAAGCAAATCAACTTATAAAGAGAAAAGGCAAGCCAGGCACCAATGGCTCACACCTGTAAACATAGCTACTCAGGAGGCTGAGATCTGAGGATTGCAGATCAAAGCCAGCCTAGGCAAGAAAGCCCATAAGACACTTATCTTCAATTAACCACTAGAAAACCAGAAGTGCTACTGTGACTCAAAGTGGCACAGCATTATCAGGGACAGTGCCCAAGGTCCTGAGTTCAAGGCCCACAGCCAACAAAAAATAAAGAAAAATTAAAAGGCTCATTTTGGTTCATGATTTTAGATATTTCAGCCTGTGTTTGGTTGGCCTCATTGATTTCAGCCTTTTATAAAAACAACAAACACATCATGGTGCCAATGTATGGAAAAATTATTCACCTCATACCCACAATGCAAAGAAGGGGTGTCTGGAGTCTCAATATCCCCCTTCAAAGGCATACTCCCATTAAGTGACTCACCTGCCACCAGGTTCCAGATCTTGAAGGCTCCTTGTCTCAGATTTTTTAAAAGCTGGGCACAGTTGTTTGTGCCTGTAATCCCAGATATTCAGGAGGCAGAGATCAAGAGGATTATAGTTCATGCTAGCTCCGGAAAAATGTTAACAGGACCTTCATCTGAACAGGTAAGCCACTGTGGTAGTATACAGCTGCAAGCCTAGCTAGGTATGAGGCATAGATAGGATGATTGCAATTCCCAGGCCAACTGAAACAAAAAAAATGAAACCCTGTTTAAAAACTAATCTAAAGCAAAAAGGGCTAGAGAATGGCCCATGTACCTGCCTAATAAGTACAAGGGCCTGAGTTCAAACGTAAGTTAAAAAATAAAATAAAATAAGACACCCTACGCAGAAAATTCCAAAGGGTTGTCAGAGTTGTGTGCTAAGAACTAGAACAAATACTGAAGATTTACTTTGTTACTGCATCATGTTGACAAATGACTTAGGAGGCTCTCTATGGTAGTGATTGCTGGAGTTATTCTCACTATATAAAAATTCATTCAGAGGCCAGGCACTGGTGGCTCGCACCTGTAATCCTAGCTACTATGAAGGCTGAGATCTGAGGATCACGGTTCAAAGCCAGCCCAGGCAGGAAAGTCTGTGAGACTCTTACCTCCAATGAACCACCAGAAAACAAAGTGGCGCTGTGGCTCAAGTGGTGGAGCACTAGCCTTCAGCTGAAGAGCTGAGGGACAGCGCCCAAGTCCAGAGTTCAAGCCCCATGACAGACAAAACAAAACAAAAAAACCTCATTCAGAAAGGCAAGATTACACAAGTGGTTAGCAAGTCAAGCAGACCTTCCTTCCCAGCTTGACCCCACAATTTATTTTCTGACCTTCATTTTCACCATCTACAAAATGGGCATAAGATCATTGACTACCCTATAAAGCAATAAAAAAGCATTTACTATGATAATTGGCTCATAGTAAGCCCTTAGTAAATAGTACTCGTTTTACATTTACAGTGCTATTTCCACAAGTATATTGATATTGTGTTCTATTTGGAGAGCAATGTCTGATTGAGGTTCAATACATTTAATTATTTAAGAAGGGGCTGGTTAATCTCAGCTGCCTTCTAAAACACTGAACCATATAAGTGGCCCTTCTCCAGTCTCAGAAGTCCTCCACCCTGGCTGGCTTGTGCACCAATATTTCTAAGATATACTTGCCTCTTTTGTAATAGATGTTATACTCATAGTTAAGACTTTGGTATATTAATAAAGGTGCTCACAAACAAGCAGGACTTGTGCGCAACTTCCTGTTATCCCAGTACTCTGGAAACTCAGGATAGAGAATATTAGACAAGGCTTAGCTACACAGCAAGACCCTCTGACTCAAAAGAAAGTGAAATTCCCAGAAGGATCCGCCACTGAATTTTCAAGAAAAAGGCAATTTTTTAAATGTGTGTTGTTATTAAGGAGTTGTACAGAGGGGTTATCATTTCATCAGTCAGGTGAGGAGTAAGATATTGGACAATGTCACCTCTTCCTTCACTTTCCTCCTCCCATCCCTGCCCACAAGTTGCATAGTTCATTTTAACATAGTGTATATTGAATACCATGACTGCCTTTGTTCACTCTTCCACCATTCCTTTGCCCTCCTTGTGCTCCCCCCAAAAAGACAAAAGACAAAAGCAAGAACAAACAACAGCAACAAAACCATGTTTTCATTTCCTGGAATTCATTTTGATAAACAGTATTTTAGATATTCAGAGGAGTTATGCCTCTGGGTTCCTCCTCTAAGAGTATCTTCCTTTAGTCTGTTTGTGTGTGAATGCCTAGAGTACTGTATAAGTTAATGTGTCCACTATATTTTAGATCTATTTTCCACATATGAGAAATAATGTGCCATTGGTCTCTCTGAGCTTGGCTTACCTCACGTAGCATGATTTGTTCTAGGTATATCCATTTCTGTGCAAATGACATAATATTACTCTTTCTACTAGATGAATAAAATTCCACTGTCTATATGTACCACATTTTTATCTACTCATCTATTGTGTTTATGTTTTTATCTACTCATCTGGTCTGTTTCCATAACTTGGCTATTGTGAATAGTGGAGTAATGAATATGGATGTGCAAGTGTCTATGGTATCCTGACTTAAAATGTTCTGGGTAAATGCCCAGGAGTAGAATGTCTGGGTTATAGGGGAGATCTATGTTTAGATCTTCAAACCACCTTCCAAAGTGATTTCACTAGTTTATATTTCCACCAATAATGCAATAGGGTTCCTGAAAGAGACAACTTTTAATATTTTCCAAATCAGAGTTTTTGGCAAATTGGCATGGCATCAAGGAGATCTGTGGAAGAAGTATTTGAGAGAGAAGGCAGGCTCTGAAAATGAAGAGCCCTAGAAAAAGAAAAAGTTCTTTAAATGTTTATTTTGTTTTTTAAAGAACATACTCAGGCTGACAGAGAAAGGGAACTCTGTTTTTAGGATCAGTTCTTTGAATTTAAACTCACAAAAATGTTTAGTGTTTTTAAACCTATGGATATATTCCTTCCCATTTGTCAGTCTCTATTAGTCATGACATCTAGAATTTCTTTGAATATAGACTGTTTTCTTCAAACTTTGTTTTTCAACTAGAAACAGTGTTTAGAAATTCAACTTCTGTAGTCATTTAACAATAATACTAAAAGCAGTAGCATCCCTTTTAAACAAATTTTGAAACTTACCATCAGGTCTTCCTCGAGACTCTTTTACCATCTTATCTTTGAAAGATTTGCACAAAGAACAATGTGAACTCTAAGCCACAATTTAAATTTGTCCTTTTCTTGCCAGTCACTTAATTGGACCAAAAAAGGTTATAGTTTACAACTAAATCAAATGTCACTTTTATTGAAATGTCAGTCTTCAGCAAATTCTCTTCTAGATCTATCAATCAGATCTTGTAGAAATAGGTGAATTCAAAATTATTTAGGGAAGATGCAGTAGTGGATTCCTGTCATCCCAACTACTGCAGAGTTGGAGATTGGGAGGTTCATAGTTCAAAGTCAGACCCTTCAACTAATAAAGAGATGAATGCAATGCCACAGATTTGTCATCCCAGCTGTACAAGAAGAGCAAATGGAAATCTTGAGGTCTAGGCCAGCCCAGGTAAAACGCAAGACCTAATTTGAAAGGAAAAAAATCCAAAAAGTCTTAATATGTGACTCAAATGTCAGAGCACCTGCCTCACAAAGGCAAAGCTGTGAGTTCAAACCCCAGTCCCACCAAAATTAAAATGTTTGGCTTACAAGTGCACACCTGTCATCCCAACTACAAGGGCAGTATAAATGGAAAGACCTAGGCAGATCCAAGCAAAGAATAAAAGGTAAGCACATACCTAAAAACTAACTAAAGCAAAAAGGGCTAGTGGTATGCAAGTGGTAGAGTGCCTGCCCAGCAAGTGCAAGACTTTAAGTTGAAACCCCAGCACCAGAAATAAAGAAGAAATCTTTCTAGTTGTTGCATAAACAAAGATTATTAGAACAATTATCCTATGGTCAGACCAATGAAGGCAGTTGTTGAGCTTCCAGTTACTCCCAGAGTTAGGTTGAGTCAACATCATAGGCATTCCTGAAGCATGTAAAAAAAGAATTCTTATTACATGATAACAGCTGGGGCTCTAAGCACAGAATGCTAGTGGCCACTTGAGTGAGCCATGAGTGAAATGTTTGGCTTTTCTTTATAGAGCTACTCACAAAATAAATCCCAAATACAATCAGCAGATTGTCTTGTGAGAGGCACTAGGTTAATCAGGGAAGATGTCTGATTTGTACATTTAACAAGATATCATTAATGCCTAGGATGCTGTGGTTTAATTTGAAGTCTATTCGAAGGAACTAAAAAACCCATAATAATCTAAATTTATCATAAAATTCCATAATTTGTATGTTTTATAAACATTACAGATGATGGAAGTGACTTCTCAAATATCAGTTTTTCTGCATGTGGTAAGGTATATAGAGGCAGCACATGTAGTGATTAAAAGCCACTTACACAAAAAAAAATGGAATTTTACTCATCCGTTAGAAACAATGGTATTGTATCATTTGTAAAGAAATGGAAAGCTGGGAAAAAATGTTATCTCCACCTTCCTCCATGTTCACCCATTTGGAGCAAGCATTGAATATATCTGAAGTAAGGCAGGTCCAGAGAGAGAAACGATACATATTTCTTCTTATATGTGGCAGCTAGAATTAGCTTATAAACTTACAAGTAAATACATTGGCTGGCATGCAAATGTATACAAATGTATTAACTGAAATACGGTAGATTTATAGGAGATCTCAAATACTGTAATTCCTAAAAAAGGCAAAGTCAAAGTTCAGCAAACTGAAACAGCAAAAAGCAGGTATGCAAAAGGGGTGGGGTGGAGTCAAGGGGGAAAGGGTAAGCAGATGAAGAGGAGACGAGGGAAGAATTCAGACAAGAATCCAATGTATATCCTACAAAATTAAGAGTGAGAGAAGGGATGGGGAGGGGAGGGATGGATGAGAATGTTGAAAGAGGTGACGTTGATCAAATTATATTGTATTCATAAACTACGTTGTTAAGTGGCAACTTCTTTGTATAACTACTTAAAGATATTTTTTAAAGAGCTACTGAGTTCAAATATCAGCTCTACCATTGCCAGCGTGTGGTCATGAGCAATTTAACCTTTCTGTGCCTCCACATCCTCTTTTGTGAAAGGGATATGGCAATACCTCCATCACATGGTGATTCAGATGATTAAATGTGTTAAATATATGTATAGTGTCCAGTATATCTGTATTGTGTTTATGCACATGTATACATATGAATTTGTCTACTTAATAGTGGAATCTCAAATAATGGCATGCTCGAGTATAACATCTAGGATATTGTCTCCATAGGAATTATCTCCACCTTCCTCCATGTTCACCCATTTGGAGCAAGCATTGAATATATCTGTTCCTACTTGCACCGTCTTGATAATAAGGTATGTGGGGGCCCAAAATGGAAATGCTTGGGAACTGAGGGTTCATGATTGTTAGGGAACCTTAGTCTGTTTGGGCATACATTGTCCATTACTTATCACTCTGAGGAAATTAACCCCTCATTTGCTGTCTCCCTGAGACTCCATGTAGAGATTCCCTTTTGGCAAGTAGGGTGACCTTCAGTCCTAGTTTGTCTGAGACAGAGGGTTTTACTGTCAGTGCTCAAACCAGGGAAGTCATGGGCAAACTAAAATGAGCTGGCCATCCTCTTTTCAGGATAGATCTTATAGAACCTACATTCCTTTAATTTACATATGAGCTCTAGGTTAAGCACAATAGGCTTTCCCATACAAGTTTTGTCGTGGGTCTCTAGCCATTACTAACTGTTATTTTTCCAAAATGGAAGTCTAACTCCACTACCCTCCCACCATCACCACTGCCATTGTCTACTGTGAAACATTGGAGGCATGGACAAAAGAGAAATTGATGCAACAGTGAGCTGCTGGCTTCTGTAACACAGTGTGTAGCTGTTTACAGCTGATGTCATGGGCCATTTCCTTTCCTCAATATTGGCCTGTGGGAAGGAGCTTCCACTCCAGGCAAATCTGCAGCTAATTCCCTAAGAAGTGAAAGATGCCTCTTTGCAGCAGGAGGCTCTTGGCTTCTCAGAATGAATATGCTCATGCTACCTTTTGTCATAAGTAGCCTTCAATGGATGGTAGTCACCATTTCATAGGATCTGGGCATCTTGGCAAGTACCATTGCATACAGATTCCTGAAAGCTCAATGTCCAAAATGTTCAACCATTAAGCCTATGTTATCTTAACATAGGACCTAATTGCTTTAACTATATTCTGGCTGTGGTCATACATCTTCCTTGATCGTGTTTGTGTTCATTCTAGCTCTCACTCCCCCCTCATTTCCCTCTAGGAAGTGATGCTATTTCAACAAGTAAATAGTCCCTTTGGGCAGGGAAAGAGATTGGAATGGGAGTACCAGAATCAAGTAGTCAGTTACAATGATAGGAAATTAAGCACTATGTCAATAAAAAAAATTCTGGCTCCTTTTCAGCTTACAAAAACAACATAATGTACATTGTCTTAAAATATAAGCAATATAGAAGTATAGTGAAGAAAAAGTGAGAATTGCACATAAGCCCACCCCTCAAGAATAACCACTGCAAACAGTTTGGTATATCTTCAGACCTTTTATTATGTACATACTATGCTTGTGTTTTATGTCCATCTCTCTACACAATATCTAGCATATTTTGGAATAGTTCTGCTCTTTATACACTGCAATTCACCTCAGTCAGTGCACAGGATCTACTTTACTGCCAGCCCAGAGAAGTTCTAACCTAGGCCAAGTTCCTCCTTAGCAGCCTCCCAACAAAAGCCTTAAGTCATACCAACACAATTGGAAGTTCTGTCCTCTCACTTCTGGAACATTCAGTGTGGCAGCTACTCTAGATTTCTTTAAGGATGCCTGGTGCTCTTCAGTAAAGCCTGGTGTGCAGGTTCACATTTCTAGAGGTAGCTGCTAATGGAAAGACATCCACCTGAAAAAGCACTAAATGAATATAACAGTTTTGATTTTGGTGTATGTGTGTATGAGAGAGAGAGATAGAGAAAGAGAGAGAAAGAGAGAGAGAAACAGAAGTAGGAATACAAATCAAACCATCCCCCATTCCTGTTATTTTTCCTTTGTGAGCTATGCATGTATGAATAAATTCTGCTCTGGTGATGGCCATTTCTGCCTCCACTCCCCTCCCAAGAGACTTAGCAGCTTCCATGGGTCTACACATAGGATCATCAGCACTAAGAAGCCATCTTTCAGCTGGCTACATACCCAAACCTCTTTAGGCAACTGACACAAGCTCTTCACAATAGCAAAGTTAGTGGACTGTGTCTGGTAGTCGCAGCTGATCTACCAAATCATACAAATGCACACCTCCCAATATACACACACACACACACACACACACACACACACACCACCACCAACAACAACAACAGGATTCTAAAGTAGGCAGCAGAGGGGAAAAAAAAGAACCAGAATGGTCATGAACCATACTACACACGAAGCTGATTTTGAATGGGGCATTTCTTCTCCATCCTGCAGATCTGCACCAGTGATGTGGAATGTCTCATGAGCAGACTCCAGCATACCTTCAAGCAAGAAATGACTGGAGTTGGAGCCAGCCTGGAGAAAAGATGGAAGTTCTGTGGCTTTGAGGGCTTGAAACTAACCTGAATCTCTTTGCCTAACAATTTAGGATCCTGAAAGTAAACATGTTGGACAAAGCTTAGAAAGTGATTTGTATTTTCAATGGGTTTCAATTGGGAGTTGCTTTAAATTTCATTCCTGTAATATCTTTTGAGTTAAAATAAGGATCCTAGAACAGCACCTCGAGCTACAGGCCCTAAAAAGAAATTGCTTCAAACCTCAAGTGCTGTGTAACGTCCTCCCCCTTTTCTGGCAATTGGTTGTCTTTTCTTATTAGTACTATTGAAAAAGTCCTGAGGCTAAGAAGTGTTTGGAGTGTTTTGGTGTCTGTACTACTGTTGTGACCCCTGATATTTTTTTAACCACTGTAAACAGAAATGTTTTGATGATTCCTTTGTGACTTGTTTTTCCAAACCTCTCTTCACATTAATGTTGCTACTAGTGAAAGAGATGATTGGAGTGCTACTCTGTGTAACTGTCATTGTCTTTCCAGTCCCCGATAGACCAATAAATGAAACCCCCATCAGTGTCCTCTAGAAGGTGCTTGACCAATTCGCCTTTGAAATGACAAAGCATGGTCTGTGGCTTTTTGCAAAACTATTATGAACCAAAAGTTGACAAATGTTCCAAAGTTATTTTCTCTAATAGTTATTTCTGAGTAAAAAGTCTATTTCAGAATGTTAAAAAGGAAATCTAGCTATATTCACAAAAAGCTAGTAACCAGTATGACTAGCATATCCATGCTACTCAGAATCACTTGTAAATAGTCGGCTTTTAAAGGAGGGCATGCTTAGTTTTCTATGAAGTAAAATGTGCTCATGTGTGAGTGTGTGCACATGCACACACATATTAGCAGAAGGGATTTATTTTAATATCCCCCCCACCCAGCCTTCTTACAGTCTATTGGTCCCTTTTCCTCTGCTCTCAATGTTGAACTGAAAACTGTACTACTGTAAATACTGTGTTTATGCTAAATGTAAAGAGTTGATATAAGTCGTACTGAACAAATGAATAGATAATGGGACATGGATATGTGAGGCCTCCTATAACTAGGTCAGGTCCAACTGCAGTGCTGACTCCTGGGTACAGTTCTAGTTCTGTGGTACCCACGAGCATATAGCAGTGCTGGAGTATATGTGGACCATTCAGAAAGATGAAAGGAAAGGGAAGGAGAAAGAAAGGGGAAGGGGAAAGAAAAGAAGGAAAGAGGAAAGGGAAGGGAAGGGATAAGAAAGAAAAGGAAAGGAATAGGAAAGGAAAAGAAAGGGATGGGAAAGGAAAAGAAAGGAAAGGGGAAGGGGGAAGGGGAAGGGAGGGGAAGAAAAGGAAAGGAAGGGAAAGGAAAGGAAAGAAAAAGAAAAGAAAGAAAAAGAAAGGAAAGAAAGGGATTTGAGCTGGTATGTATAAGCAGAGGTGTTCTGTTCTTTATTTTTGTGTGGTAATGGTAGTGGTGCTTACAATAGTACAAGCATGCCCTGCCTTAAGCTCAATTGAAGGTAAGAGAATGCACTGAGTGAGCAAGGCCAATGGAGAGTATTTAATGACAGTACTTTGTAAATGACATGCCAGTAGTGTTGAAAGTTGTATTTTTAAAAGATAAATATTCCTTTTTATACCTGTGTTGTGTTCTGTTTGAATGACTTCTAAGTAATCTTTTAGAAGATCATCTCAGCTTCTCCCTTTGAGTTACCAGGATATTGGAAGAAGATGCTAAGCCTGCTTGACAACTAGAAATAGTATTCCATCACAGCTCATTCATGCTGAACATTGGCTCTCTCCTCAAGCTCCATGCTGTGACCCCAGCAGGAAGCGAGGGTTATTTTTACACATGCTTCCTAACTGAAGCATCTCTGTCATCAACACTGCTGGGAAGGGCTTTGATTCATCAGTCTCAGGGGCTCCTGAAATGTCTTATTTGTGGGTGTGTGTGCCTGTCCTGGGGCTTGAACTCAAGGCCTGTGTGCTGTCTTTGAGCTTTTTCACTCAAGGCTAGTGCTCTACTACTTGACTACTCCTCTACTTTTGACCTTTTAATGGTTGATTGGAGACAAGAATGAGGGACTTTCCTTCTTACACTGGCCTCAAACCACCATCCTCAAAGCTCATTCTTTTGAGTTGCTAAGATTATAGACTTGAGTTACCAGTTCCAGGCTTGGAATTACTTATTTTAATACTATGAAATAGAGGAAATTTTTCCACATCATTCATTTTCATTTGAATAAGTTACATTAAAATCAATTTTAAGGCAACAGCTGCCACACTTCTCTCTCCTTTGTTTAATATACATATTCCAAAGTGTCCCTTCCCCTCCTCTGTGTGTATATGTATATGTTAGCACACAGCCTCATTCTTTTTTTGTATGTTTTTTATTGTAAAAATGCTGTACAGAGGGGTTACAGTTACATGAGCAAGGTAATGAGTTCATTTCCTATTGAGCATTGTTGCCTCCTCCTTTGTTTTCCCCCTATCAAGAGCCTCACTTTCTACCACAGGCAGGGCCTCAATTCACCTACCTCTACCTCTCAAGTGCTGGATTATGTTTCTCAGCCACTATGCCCCAAACTCTGTTTCTATTACACCTGCCATTATAGTCCAGGTCTCTTCTTCTCAGCTTGCTTGAATATACTAATTGTGATGGTTAATTTTTCTGACTCAACTTGCCCATTTACTTGGTTGCACAGCAGTCTACAGGTTGGCATGAAAACATGTTTAGATGTGATTAAAATTTGAGGGGAGCCAATTTTATCATTTGGCATAAATTATACATTACCATAGTTGAATACTCAAACCAGTAGGCTTTGACTAATGCAGAGTACACACCACAATGTAAGTGGACTTCATCTATTCAATTACGGGCCTCAAGAGGAAAGACTGAGATCCCTGAGGAAAACTTGCAAAGCCCTCTCACAATTACCTGAGCCAAATCCTCTAACATTCTGTGTGTGTGTGTGTGTGTGTGTGTGTGTGTGTGTGTGTGTGTGTGTGTATCCCACTGGCTCTGTTTCTCTGGGGACCCCCGATATATACTATATACTAGTCAAGAGTTGTTACAGTATATAAGAATCCCATGTTTCTGTGTTATATTACATAATCAAACTGCAGCACATCCCTCTCTCACACACACAATTCTTTCCATTCACCATAGAGATCTATTATTGAAGCTATTTTTCCTTCGAAATTCTCAGTGCTATTTATGCTTCAATGTTCCACCATACATTTTGAAATATTGCTGTTTTGTTCTTTTTATGAGATACACTAGTTGGATTTTCCAGATTATAGTGAAGTCCTTTTTTATTTGTAATAATGGTTGTTTTATCTCCTTCCCTAGTCCTGTGACATCTAGTTCTGATTTTTTTTAATATTACTAAGTGACTTGTTAAGGTTCTTCAGTACAAATGAAAAAGTTTTTTTTTTTCAGAAAATTAGGTACATATCTGTGTCATATAGTTTTTTAAAAATTAGGACCCCAAAATGTATGATTTTTAACATAGTACAGAATAAAGTATTATTTCAAAAAGACAGTATAGATGTGCATGAACTTTTGACTCAGCACATAGAACTGTATGAACTGTCCAGACCTCTGGATTATCAGCTGTCTAGGATGGTCCACCAAGCAGGCCCTACTTCATTCTTCACTGCAGTTGCTGCCAGCTATTGAACAACTTTCATGTTCTCTTGCTGCCCCAAAGCACCTCCTGCCCACATGTCTTTAGGCAAATTATGTAAACACAATGAAAGCTTCAAATTCCTTATGGAATTCGTGTGACCTACAGGAAAAGATTCAAAAAGATAACATCTCTAAATTGCCTGGCCACGTTCTAACCACAGTGGGTTCTCAACGAAGAGTTTAGTTATGATGGTAATTCAACCAAAGTTCGATTTGCCCACAATATTAAAAACATGTCTTTATGTTCACACCTAGAATTGTGGGGATAAATCATGTCATTGTACTCCTACAAAGTAAACTGGTCAAATATATTCCAAGCATTTCATTGTCCCAGACACCCGGTCATGCAGTGTGGGATACCAGAGATATGGCAGAATTGCCTTTCAAGAAGATATTTATATGTTTTTATATTGACATTTATAGATTTTAATGATTTGATTTTAATCATTTAGCCAAAGACACAGAAGCTCAATGTAAAGCTACTCAGTATCAACCACCCAATGAATGGTATGGATAAGGTGGTAATGATACCCTGTGTTTGACTCTTGAACTTTCTGCACCTCTCCATTTTCCCCAGAGCCCCAGAGTGTAAGTTCCATGAGTGCATTGTCCTCATTTATCCTGTTCACTGCTACATCCCCAGATCCTAGAACATTTTAATGTGTCATGCATCTTTGGTAAATGAATATTCATGTAGCATTCTTAACTCCATTTATATAATAAGATAGATAGCTAATAGAATTTTTACTGCAGTATGAAAAGTAGATGGTATTTGCCTGTTTTAGTTAAAACTTGTAGGTGTAAAGTAACTTGCTTAGGTTTGTAAGGGGCAGAGATAAGATCTGAACCTTAATCTTTCTAACTATACGTTCACAACTTTCTACCACTCTGACCTTTACAGCAATCTAACTGGTAAGTATTCTTATAACTTCACATTGTTCATGTATAAGGTACCTGATACATGAAAGTATTCTCCCAAGAAAGTCAAAGATGTATACAACCTAACTCCTTCTCTCAAAAGCTGATAGGACAGTCTCATAAGTCATATACTATGTGTATTAGGAAGCTTAAGAGATGGGAGGAGAAGGCACGTTCAGAAAGATTATTTGCCCAAGGTACATAACAAGTATGTTACAAAGTGCACAAGTTGAATCCATGAAAATCTGCCTGCAACTTGTGCTTTTTTTATTACACCATGTTGCCATCAATCATCTTACACTGTCTCCTAACTTGAGCCTTTCCTCTTCATCTGTACAATAAAAATCAAAGTATATAAGCCTTAAAAATATCATGTAGGTCGCTATCTTCAATGCACTATGTACAATACCATGCCTGACAAAATGCTCAATAAATAGCAATTGTTATTATTCAAATACCAGTCATAATAATGATGCATTAATGACAACAGATCTGCTTTACCATACTGAGAACTCTACTTGGCTGCACAATTACATAAAAGAACAATGTGAGGTGATTTTAGATCATTTCAGTAGAGGCAGGTAATCCTGGCCCAAGACTAACACAGGGAGAAATCTTCTTTCTATTCTCTTTTCATATAATTACAATACCTTTCCATTTCTGTCCCCTTCTATCGTAGGACAGACCACAACACATCAACCGGAAGGCCAAAGGAGCCTTACTATTTCCTTTATCCTTAGGTCCATAATATCACCCCAGGCTTTGAGGTTGATGGTAAGCTTTGAAGATCTCAGCTACCCTAAATTGTCTATCTGAGAAGAAGGTGTCAGAGGTGTACTGAAGCAATTATTGTTAGGATAACGAAAGGAAAGAGGAGAAATCGATCACAAAGAGTTTACCTCTCCAGGCTGGATAGCCTTATGGAGATGGTGTCAGAGCTTAGGTGCACGTTATATTAAAGAGTATGCTGCCCAACTGCATTTACTCTACATCATATGAATATTAATTAACCCTACAATGAATAGTCCTCTGTGGCACCATACCTCTGGAACCTTAACATTCCTTAATTAATATTTTAAATCATGCTTTAAAGGAGTTTTCAAAGCAACTGGATGCACTGGTATTATATCCTTTGATCTTCATAGAACCCCATGAGCTAGGAGGGACAGATGGTTCCCTCACCATTATTGCCACTAAGGAAAACAAGTCTCAAAGGGATAAAGAGCCATACCCTAGGTCGTGCTGGCAAGTGGACTATGGAGCTAGGATGAAAATGCAGGATTCCTGAGTCCTCCCAATGTCTAGCCCACTTTAGCTCCAGCCTCTGCCTTGAATGGCTGAGAGGATACAATGAAGGGGCTCCACATGGCGCCATGGGACCTCTCATCAAAATACTGTTCTTAAGTGCATGAAATAAAATGCAAAGAATTGCAAAGGAAACCAATTCTACCAAAATCACATATGTATCAAAAATTTAAGGCCACCATTACATATGGCAATGTTTTTAGATGTCATACAGAAGTCCCCATCACATGGTAAATACTCTGTAAATGTTGATTAAATAAAATGTATTTCACAAATAAAATTTACACACACAGGTGAGTTCAATACTGATTCTTGTGCACAC